AGTAGGCGTGAGCTTAAATGGCCTATGGCAACTCGAGAGCAGGCCAGGGATGCTTTGCGAGTTGACAGTTGTAACCTTGAATGGTCACTAAATGAACTGTTGTAAGTCGAGGACTCCCTGTATGATCTTGAGTAGCTTTCAAAGTCTAATGAGAAAGACTTGGCAACTAGAGTCAAGAATGAAATTGGGTGATCCGTAGAATAATTTTGTAGGCAGACATGTACAGTTACATTAACGGTAGAAAATTGGCATCTATCCCTCTGCAGCGAAAAAACCCAGTCCTGTTTAGAGTCCTAGAAGCAGACAATCCTAACAGGTTGAAATAATTCTGTAACGCTGGATTATTTGTTCAAGCTGGAAGAAGGTAGCCAGGTAAATCTGAATCTCTGAATATGAAGGTGGAACCTCTCAGCGCGCACAAAGTCAAGGAATTGTTGCCTCTATAAGACGAAGAGGTTGGAGTACAAGGAATAGATCCACAGAGACCCACACAAGAGCCACAGAAATTCAAAACTGCCTTGCTAGGAATCTTTGTTATTCATATGGAACACGAGGAGCCGTGGTGGCGCAGTGGTTAGAATGCAGCATTGCAGGTTAATTCTGCCAACTGCCAGCAGTTCAATCCTGACCAACTCACGGTTGATTCCGCCTCTCATCCTTCCGAAGTCAGTAAAATGAGGACCCCAGATTGTTGGGGCCAATAGGCTGACTCTGTAAACTGCTTAGAGAGGGCTGTAAAGCAGCATATAAGTCTAAGTGCTATTGCCATAGAGTCCTGCAGTCACATGACTAAGTTTTGGCACTTTTCGCTAATTTCTGGCATTTATTTACAGTTTATTGGCAAAAAAACAAAACAAGCCCATCAATGAAAATGGATTATTTAATGACTTCCACAAAAATGGTCATGAAATCAGTCAGTCACGTAAGTGACCTGCTTAAGGAATAATAGTTTTAAGTCGAGAGCTACCTGTAATCTCACCTTTCTGTTCCTTTGGTAGGCATCTTTTCAGAAAATTGGTTACGATCGGTTCCAGCCTGGGCTCTTAGGAAACAGAATTTAAATTTCATCCTCAATTTTTGAACCCCTATTACCGTGTCTCCCTGAAAATAAGACCCCGTCTTATATTTTTTTGAACGCTGAACTAAGCGCTTGGCCTTATTGCCATGTGCTCAAAAGCCTGATTGGGCTTATTATCAGGGGACATCTTATTTTGGGGGAAACAGGGTAATTAATTGACATCAATGGGGATGCCAGATTCTTTTTAACAACTGTGTTACTAGCTGCAGACATTCACTTAACTGTGGCCAGAAAGGTCGTAAAATGGAACAAAACTCACTTAACTCTCTTGCTTAGCCACAGACATTTTGGGCTCAAGTGTGGTCATAAATCGAGGACTACTTGTAATCTTGCTATTACAAGAGTATCAAGAGAAAAAAAATTAGGATTTCCCTTTTTTTTTCTCATTGGGAGCGAGGTAATTTGATAGTCTGGAAAAACTACAATACCAATGACTTCGTGGCTCATGGCTTTTTGCCCATTGGCAGTTACAAAATAGATGTCACAAGATACTGGATCAGGAGGGATCCAAAAGGGATCGTTCTCCATTTCAGATATTCCCAGGCCCCTTAACTTAGTTTCCACATCTTTGGCAAATATCCACACTAATTGAAGAATCCTTCATAAGAGTTAAAAGGAAGGCGTGAAAAACAAGTTTTATCCAAGAAAGATCTATTCATTTGCCCGGTCTGGATTCCATTTTATCATTTGACATCTTTTTATTGTAGCTGTTTAGCGCTTCCTCAAATGGCAGCTGTGCTAAAAAAAAAAAAAGATTGTCAGTCCAAGTCTTCAGGAGAAATTGCTTTGCTGATCATGTTTTTTCTTGAGCTGTTATTAGACATGCTACAGCAGGCGCCTCTACCAATTTGGATTTAGATAGTAGCAACAGTCCCCATCCACAAGAATAGGCCCAAAGCCACATTATCTGGAGCAACCAGGGGTAATTAATTCATGGGAAAACGAACACCGATAACTAGATCTTTTAAGTAGTGCATAGAAGTCTTCTAGTCCAACTTCCTAGTAGACCGTATACCAGTGATGGCGAATCTTCTTGCCATTGTGTGCCAAAAGCAGGGGTCGCGTGGTGGTAGGGGGTCGCGCGGGTGCCCACACCCATAATTCTGTGTGCCTTGCCCCGCGACAGCCCCCTGCACTCCCCTCCCGCTTTTGGCACGGTGGGCCCAGTAGGCCCACTTCTTTGCTCTCACCAGGCTTCAGAGCCTTTCTAGGAGCCTGGGGAGGGCAAAAAGAGCCTCCCCGCCCCGGAGGCCGAAAATAGCCCATTTGCCAACTTCCTGTGGAACCAGAAGTTGGCAAACGGGTCGTTTTCGGCCCCCTGGCTCCTAGAAAGGCTCTGGAGCATGAGGAGAGCAAAAAATGGGCCTTCCCCACCCCAACCAGGCCCTCCGGAGGTGGGAAACAGCCTGTTTCCCTATTGCAGGTGGGCCCAGAAGGCCCGAAAATCAGCTGCCGGAGTTTTTTTTTTTTGATTTATATGCCGCCCTTCTCCGGAGACTCAGGGCGGCTTACAATGCGTTAAGCAATAGCCTTCATCCTTTTGTATATTTTATACAAAGTCAGCTTATTGCCCCCACAAACTGGGTCCTCATTTCACCTACCTTAGAAAGGATGGAAGGCTGAGTCAACCTTGAGCCTTGGAGAGATTCGAACCAGCAGTAAATTGCAGGCAGCTGTGTTAATAACAGGGTGCTCAACAATAACAGTTGAGCTCATGTGCCCACCAATATGGCTACATGTGCCACCTGTAGCACACGTGCCATAGGTTCGTCATCACGGCCCTATACCATACCAGGTTGACTCAGCCTTCCATCCTTCCGAGGTGGGTAAAATGAGGACTCAAAATTGTTGGGGGGACAATATGCTGACTCTGTAAACCGCTTAGAGAGGGCTGTAAAGCACTGTGAAGCGGTATATAAGTCTAATGCTATTGCCCTTCCTTCCTTCCTTCCAATTCCCTTTCTCATTCTCCTTTCTGGTGGTGCAGTGGTTAGAATGCAGTATTGCAGGTTAAGTCTGCCCACTGCCAGGAGTTCGATCCTGACCAGCTCAAGGTTGACTCAGCTTTCCATCCTTCCGAGGTGGGTAAAATGAGGACCCAAATTGTTGAGGGCAATAGGCCGACTCTGTAAACCACTTAGAGAGGGCTGTAAAACACTGTAAAGTGGTATATAAGTCTAAGTGCTATTGGTACCCCAGACAAATCGTTGTCCACTCTTTTTAAAAACCTCCAGTATTGAAGAACCCACAACTTCTGGAGGCAAATTGTTCCACTGATAAATTGTCCCCGTCAGGAAATTTTTCCTTAGTTCTAGATTGGATCTGTCCTGATCCACCACAGCGATTCCATCCCAGTCATTATCATGCAGTTTTTTCCCCCCAGAAATACCACTAGCAATAGCACTTATATACCACTTCATATCCTTACAGTCCCTCTCTAAGCGGTTTACAGAGTCAGCCTATTGCCTCCAATAATCTGGGTCCTCATTTTACCAACCTCGGAAGGATGGAAGGCCGAGTCATTTTCGCTCCCTTTGGAGTTCTCACTTTGGTATACCACCCTCAGATATCCTAGTTACAGGGACTCCTAAACCATTCGTTTCATACCCGTTGGAAGTAACGGCCCAGGACCGCTGTTCACACTTGTGACCTTTGCAGCATCCCCGTGGTCACATGATCAAAATTTGGATGCTTAACAACTGACTCGTATTTATGACAATTGCAGGCTTCCAGATCAAATGATATTTATGAGCAAAATCAATGGGAAAGCTAGATTCACTTAACAACCATGTTACTAACTTAACAACTGAAGTGATCCACTTAACAGCTGTAGCAAAAAAAGGTCATAAAATGTGGCAAAATTCCCTTAACTTAGCAACTGAAATTTGGGGCCATCTATACGATTATCTATCAATTATTATCTATCATCTCTATCTCTATATATTATCTATCATCTATCTATCTAATCTATCTATCTACCTACCATCTATCAATCATTATCTATCATCTCTCTCTATATTATCTATCATTTATCATTTTTCTATCCATTATCTATCATCTCTATCTATATATTATCTATCATCTACCTACCTACCTACCAACCAACCATCTATCAATCATTATCTATAACTCTATCTCTATATATTATCTATCATGTCAATCATTATCTATCATCTCTATATTATCTATCATTTTTCTATCAATTATTATCTATCAATCTATCAACCATCTATCAATAATTATCTACCATCTCTATCTCTATATATTATCTATCATCTACCTACCTACCAACCATCTATCAATCATTATCTATAACTTTCTCTATATATTATCTATCTATCATCTCTCTATATATTATCTATCATCTATCATTTTTCTATCTATCAATCATTATTATCTATCAATCTATCTACCATCTATCATTATCTATCATCTCTATCTCTATATATTATCTATCATCTATTCTAAATTCTAAATACCTACCTACCATCTATCAATCATTATAACTCTATCTCTATATATTATCTATCATCTATCAGTCATTATCTATCGTCTATCAATCTATCAACCATCTATCAATAATTATCATCTACATATTATCATCTATCATTTTTCTATCTATCATCTATTAATCATTATCTATCATCTATCAATCTACCATCTACCAAACATTATCTATCATCTTTATCTCTATGTATTATCTATCATCTATCTATAATTTTTCTATCTATCATCTCTCTCTCCTCTCTCTCCCAATTGTGGTCTAACCCGAGGACTACCTGTATTAACCAGGTTTATCCCTGTTTAGCATCCTTCCCAAAAAACACAAAACATTGCAGGAGGCGAGCATATCAACAGTGCTTTAAACATCCATCCGAAATGGCAAACTCCACGCAAACCTAAACTATGTTACAAACGCACGTTCCAATTTTAAATTTTATTTTATTGTTTTTTTTTACTTCAGTCGATAGGAGCTTCTCTAAAGCAAAAAAAAAAAAAATCAATATAAAATTGAGTGTGTATCTAATACCACGCGTCTCTCGAAGCCGTTACACAGGAATTGATTCCAACTATAAAACTTTTTTATCAGCTACAAAAATCACGTGACCATATCAAAAACGGTGTCTTTTATCAAGTCCAAATTACAATAATAATAATAAAAATAATAATAATAATAAAAAGGCTGTGTGTGTTTGGAAACAGTAATGAAATATTTTGCACTAGGAGATCAGTCTTTAAAGTTTTCTGTCCTTGGTCAAAGCTGATGCGTCATCATCCCAACCCGCCCTCCCCCCAAAAAACTGGAAAACCCTTCCCACATTCAAACAACCCTGAGTATATAGTGCAATATAGTACAAAAGGTCAAATTCATCACAGTCACAGGAAAAAAAGGAGGGGAAAAGGAAAAAAAAAAAAAAGCAACAATCCAGGTTTTATTGCAGTTGGGCAAACCAAGTTCTTTGGAAGGAAAAAAAAAAAGGAAGAAAATTAACAGTGCTTCCTTAAGAAAAGTGAGGTAGCCCAACGGGAAAGAAAGCGAAAGTCCAAAAGAGACTTTCAGAAAAGTTTGCATCTTTTCTTCTTTTTCCACCTCTCCATCCAGACGACCCCGAATCCCAGGTTGTTGTTTTTTTTCTCCAAGCAAACCACGAAGGAGACCAGCCCGTCCTGGCCCTTTTTTTCTTTTTTTTAAAGTGCAGTGTATTTAAAATAATAACAATTCTTTTTTTTTAAAAAAAGGACCAGTCCAAAACAGGACTTGCAAAAAAAAACAGGCGGCTGGACACGTGTCTCCTAAGGTCGTCTGAATGGGGTGTCTCTCTTTCTCTTTCTCTCTTTCTTTTTCTCTCTCTCTTTCTTTCTTCCCCGGGCAAGAAGAAGAAGAAGAAGGGGACTAAGCCGATCCTCAGCAGCAAGTCGATCCCGGGATCCGGCGCAACCTCACCACGGGTTCCAAGTTGACCCGCAAGAGGCGTTGGGCTCGACGCCGGGCTGCTTCCAAGTTGCGCTTCTTCCAGATGTCGCCGCGCACTTTCACCGGAGGAGGGTAGAGGATCGCAAGAGGATCGGGAAGCGCCTCCGGGAGCCGTCGGGGCGGCTCTGACCGCTCGTCGCAAGGCCGGAGCTCGGGAGGCGCCCCGTCCACTTTGCGCTTCTTGGCCGCTCGCTTGGCGCTTCCACCGCCTCCTCCTCGGCGGCTCTTGGCGTCGGTCGGCGGGCGCTTCCCCTTGTTGTTGGCGGCGGTGGCGGCTGCCGCTGCAGGGGCGGCTCCTCCTCTCCTGCCGCCGCCGCCGCTTCTGCTGCTGCTGCCCGCCCGGCCTTCCTGGGCTCCCCAACCCCGGGGCAGGTCCGGCACGACGGCCCTGCAAGAGGCGTAACCGTAGACGTCCTTGCTGCGGAGGATGACCGGCGAGAACTCGTGCTTGAGGCTGCAGAGGAAGTCCCAGAGCTCGGCGTCGGAGCTCATGAAGGCCGTCGAGCGGGGCACCAGCTGCTTCAAGGCGTCGCCCAGCGCTTTGGTGCCGTTGCAGAAAAGGCTCTGGGAACGCGAGTGGACCACTTTCTCCGACGGCGCCGGGCGGGAGGCGGGGGCGGCCGGGATGGGAGCCAAGCCTGCCGCCTTACCGTCTCCTCCTCCTCCTTCTTCGGCCGCGGGCTTCATCCTCGCTCTAGCGCCACGACGGCGGCGGCCGCTGGTGCTGCTGGCTCGCGTCCTCTCCAGCGCCGCCACCGGCCGCTCGGCAGCTCCAGCGATATCAGCTCTTCTTTCTCCTCCTCCTCTTCTTTTTTCTCCTCCTCCTCCTCCTCCTCCTCCTCTTTTTCTCCTCCTCCTCCTACCTCTTCCTCCTTCTCTACTTCCTCCTCCCCCTCCTCCTCTTCCTCCTCCTCCTCTTTTTCTCCTTTCTCCTCCTCCTCCTCTACTTCTTCCTCCTCCTCTTTTTTCTCCTTTCTCCTTTCTCCTCCTCCTCTTCTTCCTCCTTTTTTCTCCTTTTTCTCCTCTTCCTCCTCCTTTTTTCTTTTTCTCCTCCTCTACTTCTTCCTCCTCCTCCTCCTCCTTTTTTATCCTTTCTCCTCCTCCCCTTTCTCCTCCTCCTCTTCTCCTTCCTCTTTTTTCTCTTTTTCTCCTCCTCCTCTACTTCTTCCTCCTCCTCCTCTTTTTATCCTTTCTCCTCCTCCCTTCTCCTCCTCTTCTTCTTCTCCTTCCTCCTCCTTTTTTTTCTCTTTTTCTCCTCCTTTACTTCCTCCTCCTCCTCCTTCTCCTTTTATCTTTTCTCCTCCTCCTCTTCTCCTTTCTCCTCCTCCTCCTCTTTTTTTCTCCTTTCTCCTCTTCCTCCTCCTTCTCTTCTTCTTCTTCTTCTTCCTCACTTGCTTTTTCCTCTTTCGCTTTCTCTGGCCAGGCGCTGCAACTTCTCTTGCGCTGCCAACAGGGCGGGGTGGGGTGGGGGGGAAACGGCTGGGACGATCGGGGCACACAAGCACACACAACTTTCCCCCCTCAACACACACACACACACACACACCTCCTCCCCCCCGGGACGGCCGGCACAAAATGGAGCTCCTTTTTAAAGCCCCCCTGGTTATGTGGGTGGGGGGGAGGTTGCTAAAAATCTCACTGCCTCTCCAAAGTCTTGGCTGGAGTGGATTGGTTGGTTTGAATTGCGTCACGGCCAAGAAGCCCCGCCCCTGGAGTAGCAGAACCCCCTCGGAAACTCCGAGGAGTAAGGTTTGCTTGCTGTTAGAAGTGGCCTTGTTTCCTCAGCCTACCTTCTTCCCTCTCCAAAGGAAGCCACCAGAAGGGGAATGTGGGGTTATGGAATGGCTTTTTCCTCTTGGGTTTTATTATTAATTAATTAATTAATTAATTAATTAATTAATTAAACTTATATACCGCCCTTCTCCCCAGGGGGACTCAGGGTGGTGGACAGCCAAACTTAAAACACATATAGTACAAAAGTTAAGAAAAAAACTAAAATAAATTAAGTCATCGGCATTTCCAATTTAAAATCCCAGATCTGCAAAATCGAAAAGTTCCCAATTTAAAACCCAGAATCAATAAAATCGAAAATTTAAAAACCCCATTAAAACCATTTAAACTAGGCCAGTTTGTTGGAATAAATAAGTCTTCAGGGCCTTTCGGAAAGGGCGGAGGTCCGGGTTATCACAGTGTTGGGGAGATCTGGTTGGGGAACCAATAAGGCTCTTCTTTCCCGGCTTGTAATCTGATCCACAGTTCCTAGGACGTTGGAAAGATTTGCTTTGAACCTGGAGGTTTTATGCTCACTCTACTCCAGAGTCTCCAAACTTGGCAACTTTTAAGACTTGTGGACTTCAACTCCCAGAATTCCCCAGCTAGGTCTCAAAACGTGGAACTTTTAAGACTTATGAATTTCAACTCCCAGAATTCCCCAGCTAGGTCTCCAAACTTGACTACCTTAAGACTTGTGGACTTCAACTCCCAGAATTCCCCAGCTAGGTTTCCAAACTTGGAACTTTTTAAGACTTGTGGACTTCAACTCCCAGAATTCCCCAGCTAGGTCTCCAAACTTGGCAACTTTTAAGACTTGTGGGCTTCAACTCCCAGAATTCCCCAGCTAGGTCTCCAAACTTAGCTACTTTAAGACTTGTGGACTTCCAACTCCTAGGGGAATTCTGGGAGTTGAAGTCCACAAATCTTAAAGTTGCCAAGTCTGGAAACCCCCGCTCTACTCCATGGCACTTTCTACTGAGGGAACCATCTAAGACTGAAGGGCAACCAATCCAAAGTAAACTGTAGGTGCTTTGGATGTCCAGCTAATTCACGTAGAAGACCCACCCTAGTTGAATCGGATTATTTCGGAGAACGCAGGCAACCTTTGTTGCGAAAGGCTCTGGCACGGGACGTAGGTACAGCATGTCCTTAGGATTACAACTCAGGCTTATCAATTCCGACAGCTCTTTGGCGGGTTATAAATTAACTCTTAGACTTTAAGAGAGTCTACTCTAGGCCGTGTACAATTTGGAATTGAGGCTGTGGAAATTGCAATCCATGCTACTAAAACGTAGCATTTCCTTTCCCAGATAACTCAATATCTCAGTTGTGGGGGAACATCTGAGGAGATCCTTCGTCAACTCCAAATTAGAAGACTGCTTCTGTGATGTGTATTCAACCCCATTTTTAAAGTCATAAACTTTAAGCTCTTTGGTGTTTCATAGACTGACCCCCAAAAAAAATCAATTCAGGTCTTTCCTTGGCTGGATCCCTTTACTGGATCCATTGAAGGCCAGGATCTCATCCAATGTGTCTTCATTCCTCAGGAAGATCTTTCTTAAGTGCGGCCTAATAACTTTGTGCGCCTGTTAACTCCACTAGATAGATAGTCCATACCAGGAAATCAACGTTACAAGAAAGTTCAACCTGCCCTTACTGAGATTATAACATAGAATCGTAGGGCTGGAAGGGACTTCCAGATAAATGGTTGGCCAATCTTTTCTTGAAAACCTCCAAGTGATGGAGCAACCACAACTCTGTGAGGCAAGCTCTTCTACTGGTTGATTGTTCTGTCAGGAAATTTCTCCTCAGTTTCAAGTTGGATCTTTCTTTGATTGTTTTCTACCCATTACTTCTTGTTCTGCTGCCAAATGTTTTTGGAGAGGCCCTCCCTGAGAGAACGGGAATGTGGGATTATGGAGTGGCTCTCTTGAGCTCCATAGTGTTGGGGAGATCTGGATGGGAAGCCAGTAACACTCTTCTTTTCCAGCTTGTAATCGATCCACAATTCTTAGGACGTTGGGAGGGATTTAAGGAGAAATTTCCTAACAATGAAGATAATTAACCAGGCAAAAACATTGAGAAACTGGAACAGGTCCAGAAGACTTGCTACTAGGATGGTAAAGAGTCTGGAAGGAATGGTTTGGGAGAAGGAATGGCAAAACCGAGGGGCAGAGTGAAAAGAGGAATCAGCCTAGAATCCTTACGTAGTCACAAGGGAAAGAAAGCCCAACCTCCCTTGAACTTCATTGAGCCTTCTCTAACTCCGTAGCAAGTGCTAAATGAAAAATATTGCTGTGCATAGGGTTTTAGCAATAAATCAGTTTAATTGAATTGTCACATGTGGCCCTGGTCTTTTGCACCTGACAAAAGGAGATGGACATACTTCAACTTGCAAAGATATTAATTTTATTACGGCCACCAGAATTCAACAAGTTCATAGCTTATTTTTTTAAAAAAACAACTACTGTGGCATAGTTTATGTTAAGTTATCAAAGCAATCAATATGTGACTGGTTTTACGAGCAATTGTAGCATATTTTGGCTCTCTTTATAGAAAATGAATCATCCTGGTTTGATAATAACAGCTGAACATAGAATAAAGGAGCATTATCTGGGTACTTTGTTAAATAAGGGGTTACAAGGCAGATCCTTGCATCCTTATAAAAATTGTCTGGGTACTTTGTTAAATAAGGAGTATCAAGGCAGATCCTTGCACCCTTATAACTTATGAATTATGGATTCAATAAAACCTTCAGCCTGTAAAAAAGAAAGAAAGAAAAGTAGGGGAGATAAGATAATGCCTACAAGTTTCTTTAAAAAAGACCCTGTCCCTGCAACCTGTTGAACTTATTCTCAGTTAAAAATAATAGTAAAATTGTTGAAATGAAAAGACTGCAAATTCAGGCTGGGAATTTCTTCTTGCAGGAGCTGTTAAGCAGTGGAATCTTCTGTCTGGTTCATTGGTGGCCTCTGCTAAATTGTAGGTTCTCAACAGGATTGGGTTTAGTTGATTTTTGCAGAGAGCAGAAGGTTGAACTAGATAGGTAGCCTACAATTCATTCTTTCTATTATCTTTGGGGCCCAACAGTGAATAATTACTAAGGGCTGTCTAATCTAGAAGAAAAGTGGGATTGATAAAGATAACAAAAGTATGGTTGGCATGGAATTATTGTCTCAAAAGGACAGAACATGAGGGTTATCTAACAATAACAATTGGCAGCTGGTTCAAGATAAAGGAACTGCCATTTCATTATGTTTCTCAATTAATTCTTTGGAAATTGTGATGAGTTTTTGGAAATTGTGATGAATTTCTGGAAACTGCTGTTAATTTCTGGAAATTGCGATTAATTTTTGGAAATTGCGATTAATTTATGGAAGAACGATTTTCAAAAAGAATTAGATAAATTTGTGGAGGATAAGACTAACAAAAAGTATGGGACTTTTGGCCAATGACTGTCCATACCCCCACACATAGATAAACAATGAGCCAAAAACAACACAACACTTGACAACATATCGAAATATAATCTTAAAACGTGCAACGTATTAAACCTATATTCAGCATTGTTACCCAACAAGGCATTTGAGAAGACAGAGATATCTCTTAGAAATTACTTTGGAAATAATTGAAAAATGGAGACTAAATGTAAATAAAACAATCCTTCGGTTTTAAATGATGTGGAGATTCTCTCTCTCTCCCTCCCTCCTTCTCTCTCTTTCCATATCTACATCTACTGTATAGTCTTCAGATGTTTTAATATTCCCAATTCTTAAACTCAATCATGAGTTTAAGAAGAACTCATTGTCTTTATCTTATCTGAAATTCCATGCAAACCATTGGAACATATGGGCCTTAAGAATGAACCTATGACTCATTCTTCAGCAAATCTTTAATCCTATCAAAGGATTTATGGAGAACCTCAACACAAACATTGCATCTTTTTGCATTTAAATAAAAATCCATGTTCCATCAAATCAAACTCAAGGCCAAGTGTCTTCATCTCTATGACATTTTCTTGAGAATAACATAGAAGTGATTCACCATTGCCTTCTTC